CTCGGCCATCGCGCAACACTTGGCAACAAGCCTTGAGGTGACGTGACGACAACAAGGCTTGCTGGGCCATCTAGGCAGGGGGGAGAGGAGGGAGGGGGAGAGGAGGGAGGGAGAGTGTGAGGTGAGGGAGGGCAGGGCATGGGTGTATGGCATGGGTGTATGGCATGGGTGTATGGCATGGGTGTATGGCATGGGTGCATGGCATGGTTGCATGGCATGGGTGTATGGCATGGGTGTATGGCATGGGTGTATGGCATGGGTGTATGGCATGGGTGTATGGCATGGGTGCATGGCATGGGTGTATGGCATGGGTGTCCGACCAGCCGTTCTCTGCCACCGTGTGGCACCTGGCACGCATGTGGTGACGCCAGTGGTTTGCCGAAAGGTAAGGGCGAGAGGAGGGAGAGTGTGAGGGAGGGCAGGCCGTGGGTTGATGGTGCATGCTGAGAGAGCGCCATTCATGCACTCAGGTGATGTGATGTCAACATTCTCATGCTGGGAGCCCGTATTATGGTGAGAGTAAGGTATTTTTTCTTGGTCAAAGTGACAGTTCCAAGACTTTGTCCTTTTTCTTTGTTCCTTCTTCTTTGTGCAGGTGAAGTGCAACTGGCCTGTGGCCTCCATAATTTATGGCGCCAACAGCAGCGCATTTGCGAATCCTACTGCACCCATCTCCACCGCACCCAGCGCTGCACTGGCTGCCCCCTATGGCCTCATCAAAGTGACCAGCAAGCATGGCGAGCAGCTTCAGGCGAAGCGTGTCGTCATCACTGTCCCTCTGGTGAGTCGACTTATGGGGTGATTAAAAAACCACAGCCAGTGCTGCACTGGCAGCCCCCAGTGGCCTCATCACAGTGACCAGCAAGCATGGGGAGCAGCTTCAGGCAAAGCGCGTCGTCATCACTGTGCCTCTGGTGAGTGCCCTCTCATGGTTGCCCTTTTGTGTTTCCCAGTGCCCCCCCACTGGCGTCATCACAGTGACCAGCAAGCACGGCGAGCAGCTTCAGGCGAAACGTGTCGTCATCACTGTCCCTCTCGTGAGTGCCCCTTGAAAGCCCCTTAATGCCTTTCATGCCACCCAACCCTTGCTCCTCGTGCCTCTCAACTGCTCTCCACCACTTCCCCATTTTCTTTCTCACCAAATTCCCTTCTCCTACAATCCTTTTCTCCCCCACTCCCGCTCCCCCACTCCTGTTGTCCTCCAATCCACTTCTCTCGCACTCCCCTTCTCCCCCACTCCCTTTCTCCCCCACTCCCCTTCTCCCCCATTCCCCTTCTTCCCCGCTCACTTTAACCCCCGTTCACTTTCTCCTGCACTCCCTTTCACAACACTCCACCACTCTGCACCACCAGCCTGTGCTGCAAGCGGGGGATATCCGCTTTGACCCGCCCCTCCCAGCACCCAAGCAGCGGGCGATAGGAGCGGTGCGCATGGGGTGTGCCGTGAAGGTGAGAGGGGGATGGGATAGGGGGGCTGTATGGGGGATGTGATACATGTGTCAGACGCTTGCACCCAAGCAGCGGGCGATAGGAGCGGTGCGCATTGGGTGTGCTGTGAAGGTGAGAAAATTTTGGATGCTATGAAATCCATGTTTGAGGAGCATGCGGCCAAGCACCGGGCGATAGGCGCTGTGCGCATGGGGTGTGCCGTGAAGGTGAGAGGGGTGCAGTGAAGGTGAGAGGGGTGCTGTGAAGGTGAGAGGGGTGCTGTGAAGGTGAGAGGGGTGCAGTGAAGGTGAGAGGGGTGCAGTGAAGGTGAGAGGGGTGCAGTGAAGGTGAGTAAGGTTGGAATGTTGTGTGGAAGATTTGAGATGCATACAGCCAAGCAGCGGGCGATAGGCGCTGTGCGCATGGGGTGTGCCGTGAAGGCGAGAGGGGTGCAGTTAGGTTGAGAGGGGTGTCGTGAAGGTGAGAGTACATTGGAGTAGGATGGTGGGAGAGGCATGTGGAAGAGATGTGAAGGCTTGTGAGTGGCAGGAGTAAGCACGCAGCCAAGCAGGGGGGCATTGGAACTGTGATGCGCCGTGTTGGTGAGAGTACGGTGGATTAAGGTGGTGGGAGAGGCGTGTAGAAGAAATGCATAAGGCATGTGCCAAGCAGCGGGCATTGGAACTGTGCGCAGGGGATGCGCTGTGATGGTGAGGAGAGGATGGGGTTAGTCTGTAGGGAGAGGTATGTGAGGGGCATGTGAGGGTCATGTGAGGGGCATGTGAGCGGCATGTGAGGGGCATGTGAGGGTCATGTGAGGGGCATGTGAGGGTCATGTGAGGATCATGTAAGGGGCATGTGAGAGGCATGAAAAGAGCACGTAGCCAAGCAGGTGCCATTAGATACTGTGAGCATGGTATGAAGCAGGGTGTGTGACGACCTTGCAAGCATCATTCTTTTGATCAAACCCCTCTGTCCTTCCTGCTTCTCGACTCCCTTTGTCCTCTCTTCTCCCACTCTTCTCCTCCTCTTTCGGTCAATCCCCACCTCTCACTTTCGCTTTGTCTTCTTCTCTCCCCACCCTCCTCCCTCCAGGTGCTCATGGCCTTCTCTAGCCGAGTGTGGCCCACCCACCTCTTTGACATAGTCTGCACCGACTCCTTTCTGCCCGAAGTATGGTTCACCCGCCGCTCGCCCTCTTCCCCCCCCACCACACCCTCCACCTCCACTCCTGCTGCGCCTATAGCTGCAGCTGTCCCCCCTCCCTCGGTCCCCATGGGTCAGTTCCTCGCAGTCGGATTCGCAGCAGGCGATGCAGCGGAAGCCATGGCGAGGCTGCCGCCCCAACTGGTGATTTCCCGCGCTCTGGAGCAGCTAGACGCCATGTTTGGCCGCCCGTGCTCCACCTGCAAACCAGGGCCGGACAGTATCAGGGTAACTCAGACCTGCCCGGAAAAGTCTCATGGAAAGGACGCAAGCGGGTTGAGTGGGGGCTGCCAGGCGCATGGGCTGCAGCTACAGGCACTACCAAATGGTGCTTCAGACAGCAGTGTTGGCACCTTTGTCGTGCCAGCAGCATCAATGGAACCACCCAGCAGCAGCAGGAGTACTGGCCCCTCGTGCCCTGCTGCTGCTGCTGCTGCTACCCCTCCTCTCTGCACCTCCTGCCACCCAGCTTCTGCATGCTTCGTTTCAGGCTGCTTCGCTGACTGGTCCAAGGACGTTTTTATCCGTGGCGCCTACACGCATCCAACGATTGGAGCAGGGGATGCAAGGGACCAGCTGGCGGTGCCTGTGGCTGGGAAGCTCTTCTTTGCTGGGGAGGCCACGCACTTCGGTGTGAACCCGTGCATGCAAGGGGCGCTGGACACGGGTACAAGAGTGGCTAATGAAGTGTTTTGGTCGCTTCAGGAGAGCAGGTTATAGGTTAATAATCCTTCATGATTATTGACAGCAGCTGTGCCTGTAGGCTGGCAGGATGTTTATGATCATCAATGAAGCGTTTTAGGAGTTTCAGTCATGACTCATGAGCATTGAGTGGATTTCTTACAGCTAAGAATTGAGAATTGGGCAGTTTGTCTGAAGTAAAGGGGGGAGAACTCGGCAAGGACGCTGGCGCAGTTCTTTCTTTGCCAAATTTAGCTGATGTAAGCAACAAGGTTTGAATTTTAGAAAATTTCATTAATATTATGCACACTGCTTTACATCCAGTTCTAGGGACCGGACTTAAACCCAGCTCAATAGAACACGGACTGCAGTCACCACAGGGAACACACACACACACACACACACACACAAAAATCGTTAGGGGAATGAACTTACGTAAGCAAAAGTGTACGATTGCATTAATACCGCAAATGAAATGCTCACCATGGCGTTGTGCGCGAAGTTGTTGAAGCCGGGATTCTCGAGGTGGTTCAACAGGTTCTCGACGGGGCTGGCATCGGTGTAAGCAGCCTGGGCCCAGAAGCCAAGGTTAGCAAGCATAGCCAATCGGCCGTTCCTGATCTCCTTGGAGCGGATCTCCTTCACGTAAGCGGGTGAACCGAAGCCCATGCCGAGGGGGTCGAAGCCGGGGTAGCCAACATCGGTACCCTTCACCTTGTTGCCCTTGAAGATGGGGTCCTCGCTGCAAACCGCAAATAACAACCGTTAGCGACCAGCAATAGGGCGAAAATGTCCAACAGTGGAAACTATGTAAAACCATGCAGCCAGCCTTACCTCACGGATCCAGGCTTGATGATGTCAGCCCAGCGGTTGCCCTCAGCCCAGCCGAAAGCGGCGATCTCAACAGCCAGCAGCACACGCCAGTCAATGCCGTAGTCGGCGACGCCCGCGATGTCCCAGCGGGGGATGTCGAGGAGACCAGCAACGCGGAGAGCGTCGGGGATCAGAACGCCAGCGGCACCGAGCATGGCCCAGCGGCAGTGGACGAGCTCAGCCTGGACGTACCAGTTGACATCGTCGGAGGCTGCAGGAGAATGGGATAAAATGGAGGAAACATAAGCACATAAATAATTGAACAATCCGGAATGAATAAAACTAAGCATATTACTATACAATTTCGAAATGCTTAGTGCAGGAATAAGAGACTAACCAAGGCCAAGGGGATCGAAGCCGAAGTCAGCAGCATAGGTGCCGTCAAGGTGAGCGGGAGGGGTGCTGCCAGGGAACCACAGGGGCCTGTCGGCATCTGCGGACACGCTGAATGCAACCTTCTGGGGAGCAGCAGCGACCTTGACGGAGCGAACCTTCTTGCCGGAGAAGGCCGACTTGCTCACGACGGAGCTGGCAACAGCCGCAACGGTGTGGGAGGCGACGACGGCAGCCATGGCTTCTGATGCAGTGTACAGCAGGAGAAGCTGGGGTACACTGAAAGTTGGGTTGGGTTCGTCAACGACTCCAAGACTGGGGGTTGCAAGGAGAGGTAATTCAGGAGGTCTGAGGATCAGGGAGGGTCCGCCGTGTCGCGGCGAAAGGTCACACGGGGGCAGCCCAGGAGATCCATCGCTAGCGTCAGGATCGAATGGGAGAAATCGGCGAGCAGATAATGTGCCAGCTCGACCAATACGAGGGCTCGCTGGGGTTCGCCCCGACAATCCGCAACCAGGAATGTTGAGCAGGTCAGTCCCCTCCAGATATGCGAGGGTTCGCCAACCACAACGATTGTCACGGAAACGAGGGATGACTCAGCACATTAAAGGATATATCGAAGTGTACATAGATTCAAGGAGCTTTTAAAATATATTACTATGTCAAACATTGTATCTCAACACGCAGTATACAAGGCACAATTACTTACGGGAGTGTTAAATGCTTCCAAACACATCTTTATATGCATGTACATGAGGTATCTATTGAGTTGCGACACAAATTACACAAAGCAGGTCATCATGTGCTACACATCATACCACACTACTACACCACTTCCAATTTAGGTACCTCTGTCATTTTGAGGAATAACGTATTATCAATCACGGGGTTCAATGTTGTCATACAATATATCTATTTCCATTTTGCCTTACTGGACATAAGTTTTTCGGAACGAGGCGAGGCTACCAAATGGAACCATATCCACCACACACATTCCATCATTGCACGTTTCGAAGTTGTGGCACATGAAGGTGTGAAAAAGGTGTGTTGCGGTAGTATTGCCCTGCATGTAGAGCTTTTGCAAGATATGCATGGTACGGTACCGTGCGGTATTTCAGATCTGTATCCCCCTAACCATCAGATTCAGGGCCATGCTGAGATGGACATTGCTCCAACCATTCCAGCTCAGACCAGAGTTACCCTGATTCCTGGATTGGCAACAGAAGAATCTTTGCTGGTTATCATTTATATGTTGGGCTGAGAAAAAATAGCCCTTGGGATATTTGCAGGGGTGAACTCTAGGTAGAACTGATGTAGCAGCGGAAGCGTTTAATGAAGAGTTGTAAACCACATTGCGCTAGTATGTGAGGGCAAAGTTGATTGATTAAAGCAAAGAGATACAAGATTATATATGAGTACAGGAAATATGAAAAGACACAGTTATAACTACTTTACTGTTGCTGTTGCGGTTCGATACAGTGACGACTTGGGCAACTCCTTTGTAACGAGTCAGTTGTGTGTCCTTGTTGTCGCGCTGTACTTGTCAGGTCAAAGGTCGCTGACCTTTGACTTTCGCATAACCTCCGACAGTTACTTCAACCTCCGAGGGTTGACTCGCTGGTGCTTCGATAGTGTTTTGCTTCGCTTGTGCCTTGGTGTTTCGACACGACAGAGGCACTTAGAGTTAATTGTTTCCAACATTATAATCCACCCTGATCCAACCATGTCTTGCCCACTTACCGACCGATAGCGTAAAACAAAGCACCTTTGTCAAACCATGGTCCGACCAGACAGGGCCTTCGCTACGAAAGGTATTGCAGTTACTTTCAGAGGGACCTTGTGTTCGACAGCCTGGTGAGGCCTACGGCGAGATTGTGGGCTGTCCCACATTCCCAAACCTGAAGGCACACGAATGTTGTCAGGACATCTGTGGGCCACTGCCAGGGTACGGTAAGTGCATTAAGAATAACTTACATTTGATATAGCACCCAGCATTATAGCTAGTACGGTACAACAGGTGAGCGGAACACGAAAGCGACTTAACAGCTCTGTTGTGTCACATTATCGAAGCTCCGGATGCCGGGATTAGGCTACTCCACTTGGTAAACCTGAAGGTCTGTCTTGCTTAGTGAGCTCCTCTTGGCTTGGCACTATGAAACCTCCTTGGGTCGCGGTGCGGGCTAGAGGGAATGCGAGGAGGAAGGAGGGATGGGGCTTGCGGAAACAGAGAGGAAGGAGGGAGAGGAGGGGGGAGGTGCGGTGGAGCGACGGGGAGCAGCGAGGGGGAAGAGGAAGCGGTTGGTGTACGCTTGTGTCCACTGAAGGGGTGGGGAGGGGTAGGAGGGAGGAAGTAGTGAAAAAGTGAGTGACGGAGAGCGGTTGAGGGTGAATTTGAGTGTGAGAGAGTGGGGAGAGCAGTGAAGTGAGAACAAGGGGATGGGAGCAGCGACAGAAGATGGAGATGGTGATGAGGGCTGGCAATGATGACAAGAAAGGGGGGGTTATGGAGGGATGGAGATGGAACAAGAAGTGCAAAGGGTGAAGAAGAAATGACACAGTAAGGAGAGGGATAGTAGCGAGTGGGAGCATGCGCATGCAAGCAGAGACGACAGGAGAGAGAAGTATGGGCTGTTGGAGAAGGCTTGCTCCCCATGTGATGTGCAGAGCAGAGCTCCAACAGCCCTCGCGCATCCAGCAGCGGCAGCACAAGAGCCTCACCTGCTCCCCAAATAGCTGCCCCAGCATGTTCACTGCAGGGTCGTGGCGCTCAAAGTACTCATCGACATGCATGATGTGCAGCAGCAGGAGCACGGGCACCCTACCTCATCAACAGGCCTTACCTCATTAACAGGCCTTACCTGCTCCCCGAACACCCTCACCTCATCCTAGCAGGAGCACACAATAAGCCCCACCTTCTCCCCAAACAGCTGCCCCAGCATGTTCACGGCGGGGTCGTGCTGCTCAAAGTACTCATTGAACGCCCTCACCTCCTCCCCAGACATACCCCAGCAGCGACAGCACAAGAGCCTCACCTCCTCCCCGAACAGCCTCACCTCACCAACAAGACTCACCTGCTCCCCAAACAGCTGGCCCAGCATGTTCACGGCGGGGTCGTGGCGCTCAAAGTACTCATCAAACGCCCTCTGCCCCTCCTCTGCTGCATGGCACTCTGCCTGTGTGGGTGGTGCTGCCCCCCCATGGCATGCCATGCAGGCGTCGTGGTAGGCTGTGATGTACTCGGTGAGGAGCTGCCACACACTACCTGTGGGCGGCTGTGATGGTGGGAGACGGGAGGGAGAGGGTGGGTTGAGGGAACAGAGAGGCAATGACCATGCAGGCGTCGTGGTGGGCTGTGATGTACTCGGCGAGGAGATGAATGGTGTGACCAGCAGAGCAGGAGGGTGGCGTGGCACAGGCAGCGTGGCATACTGCACACCCAGCCACACACGTGCTAAGAGGCGCACACACAGGCGCAGCACAACGGGGTCTCACTCACTCACCTGCAAGTTGGCATCGGCCCACCCACCCGTGCTATGAGCAGTAGTAAAGCAGCAGGTGCGGGGGGGAAGAAGTGCGACTATTGGTAGCACTCAGAGTGAGCCATTTCCATATCTTTACCACCAACGGGACAGCAACAGGTAGACCACTGCAGCACCCTCACCTGGAGGTTGGCATCGGCCCACCCTGCCTGTGAGCGGTAGAGCAGCAGGTGGGGGGAGAAGAAGTGCGAGGAACAAAGAGTAGCATGCTGTATCCAGCTGCACCCGCACAAGCACAGTGCAAGTGGGTGTCACTCACTCACTCACCTGCAATTTGGCATCGTCCCAGCCGTCCTGCGAGTGGTAGAGCAGAAGGTGGGCCAAGACGAAGCAAGCCAGAGGGTACCGCACTGTACCCAGCCACACCCAGACGAACAGCAATGCTGCACCAAAAATAGCACAAACATAGCACTGCAGCGGCTCACCTGCAAATTGGCATCAGCCCAGCCGTCCTGTGAGCGGTAGAGCAGCAGGTGGGGCGAGAAGAAGCGAGGGGGGCAGAGGGTAGCAATACCCAGGCACACACAGGCACACACAGGCACACACAGGCACACACAGGCACACACAGGCACACACAGGCACACACAGGCACACACAGGCACACACAGGCACACACAGGCACACACAGGCACACACAGGCACACACAGGCACACACAGGCACACACAGGCACACACAGGCACACACAGGCACACACAGGCACACACAGGCACACACAGGCACACACAGGCACACACAGGCACACACAGGCACACACAGGCACACACAGGCACACACAGGCACACACAGGCACACACAGGCACACACAGGCACACACAGGCACACACAGGCACACACAGGCACACACAGGCACACACAGGCACACCCAGGCACACACAGGCACACACAGGCACACACAGGCACACACAGGCACACACAGGCACACACAGGCACACACAGGCACACACAGGCACACACAGGCACACACAGGCACACACAGGCACACACAGGCACACACAGGCACACACAGGCACACACAGGCACACACAGGCACACACAGGCACACACAGGCACACACAGGCACAGCACAACTGGGTCTTACTCACCTGCAGGTTGGCATCGGCCCAGCCGTCCTGAGAGCGGTAGAGCAGCAGGTGTGGGGAGAAGAAGTGTGAGTCAGAGGCGAAGAAGCGCGCCGTCATGGGCGTGAGCAGATGGGCGTGCTGCGGGCGAACAGTGTTCAGACGGGTAGTTACTGTGGGCTGCACGTGGTTGGTGGGACCGGGGGGGGGGAGTAGGGTGACAAGTGGGGCGAGAGGAAGTGCGAGTCAGAGGCAAAGAAGCGGGCAGTCATGGGCGTGAGCAGGTGCGCGTGCTGTGAGCGCATGGTGCTCAGACGGGCAGTGACTGATGCCTGCACGCGAGAGGTAGGATGGGGAGCAGGATGCGACATAAAGGAACCAATAAAAGGACGGGGTGCAGTGCAGGTTGGCAAACGGTCATGAGTGTGAGGAGATGGCGTGGTGCTGTTGGACAGTGCTCAGACGGACGAGCAGTCACTGATGCCTGCACGTGATGGGTAGGATGGGGAGTAGGATGGGGAGTAGGATGGGGGGTAGGATACGACGCAACATGAAGAGATTTGACAAGGGATGGTAACAGGTGGGCTCACCGGCTCACTGGCTGCTCACACACTCACCGGGAGGAGGTTTCCCTGGGTGAGGCGGTGCAGTTGGTGGGGCGACGTGGGGTGCAGGTCAACGAAGGCGAGCAGGCGGGAGGAGTTGAAACACAGCAGCTCCACTGCCAGTAGAGGCAGGTCGCACCTGGGGGAGGCGGGAGGGCAGGGGGTGGAGGGAAAACTAGTTTTGAGGCGCCTCAAAACTAGGCAACATGTGAGGGACATGAGGGATGGCAGCTCAACTGCCAGCAATGGCAGCTCAACTGCCAGCAATGGCAGCTCAACTGCCAGCAATGGCAGCTCAACTGCCAGCAATGGCAGCTCAACTGCCAGCAATGGCAGCTCAACTGCCAGCAATGGCAGCTCAACTGCCAGCAATGGCAGCTCAACTGCCAGCAATGGCAGCTCAACTGCCAGCAATGGCAGCTCAACTGCCAGCAATGGCAGCTCAACTGCCAGCAATGGCAGCTCAACTGCCAGCAATGGCAGCTCAACTGCCAGCAATGGCAGCTCAACTGCCAGCAATGGCAGCTCAACTGCCAGCAATGGCAGCTCAACTGCCAGCAATGGCAGCTCAACTGCCAGCAATGGCAGCTCAACTGCCAGCAATGGCAGCTCAACTGCCAGCAATGGCAGCTCAACTGCCAGCAATGGCAGCTCAACTGCCAGCAATGGCAGCTCAACTGCCAGCAATGGCAGCTCAACTGCCAGCAATGGCAGCTCAACTGCCAGCAATGGCAGCTCAACTGCCAGCAATGGCAGCTCAACTGCCAGCAATGGCAGCTCAACTGCCAGCAATGGCAGCTCAACTGCCAGCAATGGCAGCTCAACTGCCAGCAATGGCAGCTCAACTGCCAGCAATGGCAGCTCAACTGCCAGCAATGGCAGCTCAACTGCCAGCAATGGCAGCTCAACTGCCAGCAATGGCAGCTCAACTGCCAGCAATGGCAGCTCAACTGCCAGCAATGGCAGCTCAACTGCCAGCAATGGCAGCTCAACTGCCAGCAATGGCAGCTCAACTGCCAGCAATGGCAGCTCAACTGCCAGCAATGGCAGCTCAACTGCCAGCAATGGCAGCTCAACTGCCAGCAATGGCAGCTCAACTGCCAGCAATGGCAGCTCAACTGCCAGCAATGGCAGCTCAACTGCCAGCAATGGCAGCTCAACTGCCAGCAATGGCAGCTCAACTGCCAGCAATGGCAGCTCAACTGCCAGCAATGGCAGCTCAACTGCCAGCAATGGCAGCTCAACTGCCAGCAATGGCAGCTCAACTGCCAGCAATGGCAGCTCAACTGCCAGCAATGGCAGCTCAACTGCCAGCAATGGCAGCTCAACTGCCAGCAATGGCAGCTCAACTGCCAGCAATGGCAGCTCAACTGCCAGCAATGGCAGCTCAACTGCCAGCAATGGCAGCTCAACTGCCAGCAATGGCAGCAACTGCCAGCAATGCAGTCGCACCTGGGAGAGACGTGGAGGAGGCGGGGGAAGGGGAGAGAGGAAGCACAGGCAATACAGCGAGGAACCGAGAGAGTGACAGCAGGCGAAAGGAGTAGAGGCACAACAGGGAGGGGGGAGGCCGAAAGAGCAGACAGCATGTGTAGGGCATGAGGGAAGGAGACGAAGCAGAGAGGAGAAGCACCACTGCAAGCAGGGCGAGGCGGCAACTGAGGAGGTGGAAGTGAGAGGAGGGCCAAGGGAGTGTGTGGGAGAGAGGGTGTGAGGGAGAGCAGTGGGACACACACACCTGAAGCAGGCAGCACAAGCCTGAAGCGAGGGTAGCAGAGAGCGGTGAGAGCCTGCACCTTTGGGGGGCCCATGGTCCACATACGACACCCGCACCCGCCGTGAGGGTGATGGGTGGGACACGTTACACACCTGGAGTTGGCAGCAGCACACACCTGAAGCGAGGGTAGCAGAGAGCAGTGAGCGCCTGCACCTTGGCCCCACAGTCCACATACGACACCCGCACCCGCCGTGAGGGTGATGGGTGGGACACGTTACACACCTGGAGTTGGCAGCAGCACACACCTGAAGCGAGGGTAGCAGAGAGCAGTGAGCGCCTGCACCTTGGCCCCACAGTCCACATACGACACCCGCACCCGCCGTGAGGGTGATGGGTGGGACACGTTACACACCTGGAGTTGGCAGCAGCACACACCTGAAGCGAGGGTAGCAGAGAGCAGTGAGCGCCTGCACCTTGGCCCCACAGTCCACATACGACACCCGCACCCGCCGCAGCACTGCCGTCTCCACCAACCAGTTCCTCACACCTGGCCTCTCCTCCTCCCCTCCCCGCGCACCCCCCTCCCCCTGCTCACCACCCCCCCTTCCCCGCTCCCCCTCCCCTCTCCCTCCACCGCTACCTCCTTCCCCACCCCCCCTCCCGTCCCCACTCCGCCCTCCCCGCCTGCCCGCGCCCCTCCCCGCGCCCTCCCTGAAAGCCAGGTGAGGGGACAGCGGCAGGGGCTTAAAGCCCGGCTGCTGCTGCAGCGCGCGCCAGAGGAGGCGCAGGTGCGGGGCGAAGGGCAGGGGGGAGTCGCTTGGAAATTCCGCCAGCCCATGGGGGTCCAGCGGAGGGGGCTTGTGTGGCGAGACGCGCGCATGCGAACATTCACATGTTAGGACGGCTGCTGAGCCCAAAACGGCCTCGTCGGTGGTGGATGTTGCTTCGACTGCCGATGCTGCTGCTGCGTCCGTACCGGCGTCTCTGGTTCTCTGCTGCGCTGCTGGTGTTGCGGTGCTGCGGCGACTAGAAGCAGTCGTCTGGTCGTCGCCAGACATGCGCGGCACTACAATAAACCGGTTGCGCGATTCCTGTCCCACATGCGACTGGCTGTGCGACCGCAAGCGACGCTGTCGCTGTGGTACATTGCTCGCCTGATGGGTGTACCATGGCGACGATGAGGGTGTAGCTGTACGCGCTATAAGATGGAACGACGTGGACGCCATGCCGTTGTAAGTCGGTATCAGCGGCCGCACGGGAGTAATCCGCAGACGGCCGCGCGGCACGGCCGTGCGGTTAGACGGAGCGGGGTATAGAGCAACGTGGATTGCCGCACGGTAATCCGCGGCTCGTTAGAGAGGTCAGGTGTAGAGCAGGCGAGGAAGCTATATATTTATCGTCCAGCTGATGCCAAATTGCTGGAACAAGCCTGTGATTTAGACGAGGGGACACCATGTCGCGAGTCTCGCTAAAGGCTGTATTCCCCACATCGTGCGCTCGTACGTCGGTGGTGTGAGGTAGCATTCCGGGCTCGTGTCAATTTGAGTTGGTGTGAGGTCACCAACTCAAATTGACACGAGCCCGGAATGGGACTTGTGTGAGTGAACTGTGCAGCAACACACGTGGGTCAGAAGGCATTTCAGCACTCGTTACTGATTACCGATTTGCATTCACATAAACCGTACAATAACGATTTGTTTCCATTCAAGCTGTCTAAAGTGCGATTCTGAGCTGGCGAACATGCTGGGGTGCACTTAAAACTCACTCCTGAAACGTCCAAGTTTCACATGTTTGTAACAAATTAAACAACGAAGCCGTCGTTTTGTTTCGTTTAGCAATGCACTGCAATTTTGTGTTGAAACCATGGCTTGCGACAATCGCGATAATCCTGTCAGACCCCTAAGCTCTCAGTCTTCCAACTCCATCTTAAGGTTTGTGTGAACACGCCCCGCTATCTCGAAGTTTGTTTCATTTTGTGTGGGGGGCTGGTGCTCGCTAACCACAGCGAGCCCAGAGAATACTTGCAAAACAGAGTAGCTTTGATGACTGGTAGGCTGGAAACTTGGCTGGAAAAGCTCAACAGAGCTGCTGGACTTGGCTTGATGAGAGAAAACTTCACTATGATCAAGATTAACAAGCCCACTAAAGCACAACTTCTTAAGCATTACAAACATGCAGATTGATAGCTCAAACTAGGCTGCTAGACAAGGCAACTTCCTTGGGAAATTGGGCACAATTCAGATTCCATGAACCTTGAGTGACTTGAGAGCCACATGAGGTGCATGAATAAGAAATCTCTGGAATGTACTGTTATAGCTGATTCTGTTTTGTAGAAACCTGTAGAAACTGTCGACCCTTCTGTTTGAGAGCAATCCCGAACTGTATCGAGTCTTCGGCTGCAATCTGATTTTGCTGCGGAAGTTTCTGAATTTTCGCGAAGCCTTCAATCCGTCGCCGACATTCTTGCTGCTCCTTGTGTGCAAAGGGCTGGGGCGGCAGAGACTCGATTCTCCAACACTCCCCCTCGCACCAGACCCGAAGCACACATACGCCCATTCTTACTCTCCTCTTACATCTCCTTGGCATACACTCCATGCTGCTGCCCATGTTGCTTCTCCTCATTCTCCTCAAACTGCTGCACTACTTCATGAAGTGTCATGAGACCTTCTCTTGCCTTGCACATGTTGAATGCATCATGTGGAAGAACCTTAGTCATGAAATCTGCCGCTTGGTCGAATGAACGGCAAAAGTTGACGGCGAGAACTCCCTTCTCTAGTTGCTCACGAATGAAATGGTACTGCACCTCGATGTGTTTTGTACGCCCATGATGAACCGGATTCTTGGAGAGGGCGATAGCTGAAGTGTTGTCCACATAGAGCGGAGTTGGTTGAGTTTGCGGCTGCCTCAAGTCTGTTGGGTTGAGGTGCCCTAGGATCTTTGTAGAGTTAAAGTTTGAGTAGGATGATGTAATAGCGGAAGCGTTGAATAAGAAAGCCTTGAACCACCTTGCGCTGGTATGTGAGGGCAAAGTAAGTTAATTAAAACAGGCAAATACAAAGCTTTATATAAGAGTACAAGGAATACGAATAGATGTAATTAAACTACCTTGCTGTTGCGATTCGATACAGTGCGACTCGGGCAACTGCTCAATGTCGAGTCAGTTGTGTGTCCTTGCTGTCGCGCTGTATTGGTCAAGTCAAAGGTCGCTGACCTTTGACCTTTGCGTAACCTCCAGGCGGTTACCCTAACCTCCGAGGGTTGACTCGCGATGCTTCGATTTGGACTTCTTCGCTTTGTGTCCTGAGTTTCGACACAACAGAGGCACTTAACTTATTTGTTCCCAACACTCCCCTTCGCTTCTGGAGTGTCGCTGATGGTGACGTGGCTTTGTCCAGTCAGCAGCATGCAGTACTCGAACTTCTGTTTTCCAAGTTTCTTGGTCAAGTAGCCGGCTGCCATCTCGGACGTGGGACAGTAGGATAGATCGAGTTTCCCTTTCTCGATTTCGTCTTTCACGAAGAAGTATCGTAGGGCGATATGCTTCGTTCTGTTCGCGAATCCGCTCTTGTTGGCGATGCGAATTGCGGATTGGTTGTCGCAGAACAAGGTGAAGTTGGGTAACTCGGCTAACTTTGCTTCTTCCAGCAGCTCGCGAAGGTAGAGTCCTTCCTTGGTGGCTGAGCAAAGGGCGATATATTCTGCTTCAGCTGAGGAGAGAGCGATTAGTTCCTGCTTACTCGACTGCCAGGAGATAGGTCCGATAGGCTCTAGACGATAGACATAGCCAGTGCGAGAGCGCCTGTTATCTGAATCGCCGGCATGGTCGGCATCGACGTAGCCGATTAGTTTCGTTGACGTAGCTTCGTTCTTGTAGTAAGTCAGGCCGATCGTCGGCGTGCTCACGAAATAGTGCAGTGCGCGATCGAGCTCCGCCAGGTGCTCTGCTTCGGGTTTCTTGAGGTAGGTAGCGAGTTGGCTTGCGGAGTAGGATAGATCCGGGCGACAGGTGACGGCTGCGAAGAGGAGGCAGCCCAGTTTCCTTTGGTAGTCTCGTATTCCGGCAGCTTTGAGTGGAGCGGAATTTCCTTTGTCATCTCCTGCCGTGTAGCTGTATGGCGTGGCGATAGCGGTAGGTGTGAGCGAAAAACGCTTGGCGATCGTGTCGGCGTATTTCTCGGCGCTTAGATAGATCGCATTTTCTTCTTCGCGGATGTTGAGCCCGAGGTACTGCGTGACGGTAGAAGAGACCGTGAGCGTGAGGTCCTTCTGCAGCTCCCCTTCGAACCAGGTGGTGACGTCGTCGGTGGAGCCGATGTAGAGCAAGTCGTCAACATAGACTATCAGCAGGATGTAGTCTGCGTCTTTGGTGAGTCGGTACATCCCTTGGTCGTGAGGTAGTTGACGAAATCCGATGCGAGTAAGGCGGGTGTGTAGGTGCTGTTGCCACAGGTGCGGTGCTTGTTTGATTCCGCAGAGAGATTTCAGTAGTTGACAGATCTGATTGGGGTTTCCGTGGGTACCGTGTGGGAGTTCGACGAAGATTTCGGCGTCGACGGGTGCGTAGAGGAATGCATTGGCGACATCAATTTGTCGCAGCTTCTTCTTCTTCATGGCGGCGACGGCGAGAAGGATTCGGAGAGAGGTATGTCGACTGACTGGGGCGAATGTCTCGGTGAAGTCTCGTCCTTGCTCCTGATCGAATCCACGCACGACCCAGCGTGCTTTGAATTTCTCGATCGTGCCGTCTGCTTTCGTTTTGATGCGGAAGACCCATTTCCCGGTGAGAATAGTCTTGTTCCTTGCCACGCTTGCGGGAACGACCTTCCAGGTGTTGCGTTCCTCCAATGCCTTTAGTTCTCTGTCCATGGCTTCACGCCATTTCTCCCTGTGTTCCCCCCCCAGAGCCTGCTGAACCGTCGCAGGCTCCTTAGGAAGCGCGTTGCCGTGCACTGCGGTGACGAGGCCGAGGATTTGCAGCCCAGTCTGTGAGTATCGGGGGAGTGTTGGATCCTCGGGATAAGCTGCTTCGTCTCCCGCTTCTGGATCGGGTATGAAATTTGGCCCTATCCGTTCTGCTTCATTTATGTTGACTGTCGCAGGTGTTACGTAACCGTTGTCGGCGAAGTGATAGAAGACTTCGGCGTTGGCACTGTCGCGAGGATTTTCTTCGTCCATGGGCACGTTGACGGAGCAGAACGGGAGAGGTCCGGCTTCTTCCGATGCGTTTTCGACGTTCTGTTCATCCCAGTTTGCTTCGTCCGCTGCTGAGGCGAAGGCTCGGTCACCGCGAAAGCCACCTGTGGGGTTTTGATTCTCGTGCAAGTTGGCGAGGTACGTTTGAAGGGTGAGTCGCTCGTAGAAGATCACATCACGTGCTGCTACTGTTTCCTTTGAGTGGACGTCAAAGATTTTCCACGCGTTGTAATTTTTCTCGATGCCGAGGTGTAGTCCCCACTGTGCCCGTTGTGAAAATCTTCCCGCTCGTGCTTCTGGGGGTCGGTACTGTACCATGCACCCGAAAACTCGTAACATTTTTGTGCTGCCCTGCTTCCCTGTCCACAGCAGGTGCGGTGATGCGTTGTTCGGGAGTGACGACGACGACAGCAAGTTGTGCAGCATGACAGCATGGTCCATTGCTGCAGGCCACTGGTGGTTGGGTAGCCGCATGCCACGTAGCAGTTTGCGCATGCTGTTCTGCAGAGTCCTGTTCATTCTTTCTGCGACACCTTGCTGCTGATGGGCGTAGGGAAGGGAGAGGAGTTGCTTGATTCCTCTTTCCGCCAGGTACTGCTTGAAGCGCTGAGAGGTGTATTCTCCTCCTCCGTCTGACTGGAAGCTTTTCAGCTGTGCTCCCGACTCTCGTTCTGCTACTGGTAGCCAGGCGGCGAACGCTGCGAGTGCCATGTCGCGGCTTGGTAGGTTTAGATGCCAGACATATCGAGTGGCGGCGTCGATGAAGGTAATCGTATAGTTGTAGGTGACTTGTCCTGGTTCGCGATTGTAGAGGATGTCGCTGTACACCTTCTCGAGTGGTGCGTATGTAGGTGCGCTTCGGTTG